CACGCCCCGCGCCCCGCGCCCCGGCACTCACGCGGCCCTCATGACGGTGGCCGGGCGGGGCCGCCTCTGGGTCGATGCCGGTCGGTCGCGCCGTCTCGTTCGAACCTGCCCTCCCGCCGGGCCCCGCGCCACCGTTTTCAAATCAGACCAATCGCGGGGCGGGGCGGGGCGGGACGCCGTGACGTCAAGCGCGCGGCGGGCTGGGCGGCCCACAATGGTCTCCATGGAGACGGGCGGGCCACCGCCCCGGCCCCGCCCCTTCGCGTCACGTCCTGCCGGGCAACGGAACCGCGTCGGCGTGAAGAGAGCGCGCGAGAAGAATGACCCGTGATCAGCACCGTGCGGACACGTGCGAAGAGTGGGCATTGACACGCGTGCACACACACACACACACGCACATGCATACACATATACATACACGTGCACACACACACGCATGCAGACACACACCCCCAGACAAGTATATGCACGCACACACGCATGCACCCAGACACACAGACACACACATACATGTATTTTTTGCATATATACAAACGTGAAGGCACAAAGAAGAAACCATCTAATAATTTAAGAGCTCAATATGAATAACAACTGTGGAGCTGTGTGTGTGTGTGTGTGTGTGGTTTTTTTGGTCATATTAGAATGAAACTGTCCCTAGTGACAGAGTCATTTTCCCGTATCTCCTTTATTTACCAGCTGATAAAACTTGATATTGGGTCAGGTTTATTTTTCTTATTTCGAGGCCCCTTGTATTGTGAGCCCCTAAATGTAGTTGAGGCCTAAAGCAGGCACTGGCAGCGGTGCCGGTGACCCAAGGGCTCTGGCCCCACATCCCCTTCCCTGGGACAGCTCGGGTGCCAGCCACGGTGGCCCTGCTGAGCCCAGGCTACCCCCTTGACAGACAGTGAACATCAGAGCTACAGTCGGGCGAGTTTGAGTGTGAAGTTAAGGAGAAGGCAGGGTAGATTCGCCCCTCGTCCTAGACGAGCGGGGCTGGAAGGGACCTCCAGAGGCAGCGTCAGCCCTGTGCAGAGAAAACCCTCACCTAAACTTGTCGTAAAACAACTGTCAACCCTGCCACAGCACCAGACACCACACCCAACCCTGCCACGGGGAAAGCAGGGGGCCGCAGCTGCCAACGTTGTGCTGCCGCAACCCATGGTTAACGCACGTTCAAGAGATCCACGGAAGAGGCTGTGCCCTGCACTACAGAGAAAGACAACCCCCTCCAGGCTGCACCAAGTCAGGTAGGATTCCTTCCTGACCCCAAATATTGCATGTCTGACCCTAAGTGGAGGGGCAAGAAGTAGGATTGCCAACTCTGAATCTATTCCGGGAGGTTTCTGGAATGCCGACATGCCCGCAACACAACATGACACGGATGTGCCCGCATGCATCGGTTATGGATTACGGGGTGTAGATTTTACATCAGGAAAGCAAATGCACATGACTGTTGCATTTTAAAATCCCACCGGACTACCGTCTGAATCGGATTCTACATTTAATATTAATTTTAATGAATGACTTATCGTTTATCTCCCAGATTGTCTCCTGGAGATTTATATCTAATTCCTGGAGGCTCCAAGGCGGTCCTGGAGGGTTGGCAACCCTAAGCAAGACTCTCTAGCCAAGAGCCTCCAGCTTTAAGTCCCAGCAGGGGTATGGGCACAACCCAGTCAAAATCCCCAACTAGCAAAGCTCAGAAGCATGGTTCTAGCCCAGAGGTGTCAAGCCCATGACCTGGATTTAGCCTGTAGGCTTTGGCCCAGACTGACTGCAACAGAGGACCTTCCCATAGCAGCACCCAAGCACCTGGGTGGGACCCGGCTGGTGCCCGAGCAAAGCCTGCAGCAACAGCCAAAAGTCTGGTGCCTGAGCAAAACCATGGCTTGTTCCTGCAGCAACACCCAGATGCCAGATCTCTTCCTCCTGGGTCCCAGACCAGCTGAAGAAGGCATCACAGGTGCTGGAGATAGTATATGGGGAGCAGCCCTGTGCCATTCATGAGGCCCATAGAGCAGTCCTGCCCCACTTGTCCAGCCCATGGGGCCAGACAAGTTTGACACCCCTGTTGTAGACTAACCAGACTAATCAGAGCACAATGTAATGTGGTCACTGGAAGAAACACTATTTGCCAAGCAAGCTGCCCAAACCTGCACCAACTGTAATTCCAAAGAAGTTTGTAATATATTGCAGTAGTCCCATTTAGAAAATATTGCCCCCGGTGATAAATGGCAGCATTTTCCAGGAAAAGCCAGGAGTCTAATCAGCTCTTCCGAATATCAACCCCTACCAGCTAAAGGCAGCATCGTTTAGGGAAGAAACACCCCACCTCTTCCACCACCCTGTTTTCTGGTTGGGGATGGAAGACTTCTCAAGCCTTCCCTGAACTGAGACCCAGCCAGCTAGGCTTCACTCATGCCTTCCCTGACACTAGAGTCCACACAGGGAGTGATGCAAGAACAGCTGCTCTGCTTTAAATTCACACACTATCTTAATCTGAATTAACTGCCTTGTGTAGCCAAGACATACGTAACAGCCAACGCAGCTGCAGCCTGGCAGTCAGTGGACTGGGGACAGATGGCTGGAACACCAATGTAATTCTCTAGGACTAAGGAATTAGCACTATCATAATATGGAAGAAGGGTTGTGTTGGGGCAAGGGTAAAATAAGTAGGGTTAAAATTAAGGTAAAGGCTAAATCTAAGAGATGGCATCAAGCTATCGTGTACCCTGGCACTGGACCAGGAATGAATGACATTCGTGACAAATGAACATGGGTTCTTACTCCCAAAACACCACGTCATTTTATTCTGGATGAGCTATAACCTGCCTCTTTCAGATACGCATCAGGACAGTATCTCTTTTATTTTGTCATTCCAGTAAATAGACTAGAATCAACATAAGCAACTAGATGTAGTTATTAAATGGAAGGGGTTTTTGTGTCTCCATCTTGGAGTGGGGTTTTGTAATCAGTGCTGGGATGTTAGTGTTAGGACTAAGACAGGCTACAGACTGGCCTTCAGTTTGCAGGACTCAGCATTTGGAGTACATAACGAAGAGACAGAAGGAAACAAATAGCTAGTTCCTTGTATTCTGCACATATAACAATTTGACATAAGCAGTCCTGCATAAATAAATTTTATTCCTTTGCATGTGTACAGCTTAAGTCACGTACATCTCCAACACAGTAAGAAATCTGATAGAGCTTCCTACATGATAATCCAAGATGGAAAAATGTAACAGTACTCAAATAATTTATTCTGGTATAACCCATAGAAAAAATACCAACGTTATACTGCTGAAGAATATAGTATGATGAGGGTGTAAACAATCATATAAAACAAAGAGCTATTATATTTTTTCTGTATTTGTGGTTTTCCTGTGAATAAAAGCATAGTGGATAGATGCCTAACTGTGAATGTGTCTTGGTCACTGGCAAAGTCGGATTTCTTAAACTTGAGATGTTAAACTACCAAATGTGAAAACAGTTTACTAGATTACATCAAAATGGCGTAGAAGTTTATTTCACTTCTGGCAAACAAAGTCAGGTTCCTCCTGTGTTAGCCAACCAAAAAAGTGAGATGAACATATCACAGGACAGTTGTCTTCCTACAGAATTATCCAAGTGGAGTTGGTACATATTGCAGCTATTTTGTTATTTTTATCATTTTTAAAATTAAATAAAAATGTTGGATGAAATAATGTTTCAGCGCTGATAAACTTGAAAATGTATCTTGATTAGCTTTCAAAGGAAAGTTCTCATTTCCCAAAGCCTTACTCATTTAAAAGATAAATCAATATCCTTGCTTCTTGTATGTATATATTAAAAAAGTTTGTTGCACTGTCACCCAAAAGTGCATCTATTATACCTCAATAGAGGCTACTATTTAGAAAAACAAATGATAAACCCATGTAATTTTCAAGAACCTTGATAACATTTCATCTCAGTACTGCATTACATTCAAATATATTAGATCATTCAATGTGACAATTAAGTTACAGACACCCTCCAGGCTTGAGATACATGAACACTGCTCCCATGCATAAAAAACAGTAGTGAAAATGCTATGGTGGCTAGTACAGCCTGCCCAATTCTGTTTTCCTGCTTTGTGGTCCCCAGTTGGTTGCCAGTGGGTTCATCCAATGAGTCTGGACCAGGTCTAATCACTGTGTTAGCTCTGGCACTCGGGGACACCCCCCAGGCTTGTACCCAGCTAACGTCCAGGGATGCAGCATGTTGCTCTCCAGCCTCCTAGCCTGCTACATCGGTGTTTGAGCCCCACAGTCGCACCCTCTCTATCCCCCATAACGCTCTCCCCCCAGCTCCAGGCAAGCTATGGGCTGAGTTTCTAATTTAAGCCCTTTGGGGACAACATAGCAGGAAAGCGAGGGACACAGAAGGCACAGAGGATTTGTTAACCCAAGCAACAATTTGTAAAGCACTTGAGAATTACAGAGCTGCAAATACAAAAGTCCTAAGATGCACTCTCAGGTAGTCTGACCTCACCCCTTCTGGGAGCCCACAGCTCGTAAGTGCTTCAAGGCTTGGCAGAATTCGTGCTGCCCCTGCTCCCTGCACACGGAGTGATGCCGAGAGCAGAAGCCCATTCTTTGCTGTGCCGAACGCTTAGCCCCAGTCATGCTTGTCCTCCCTATAGGCTGCAGAGGGGAAAAACCATCTCTCCCTGCCAGCAGGCCTGTGGTTGAGATCGTCAAAGCTGAGCTCCCTTGACTGCAGTCTAGTTGGCTTTGCACCAATCATATCAAACGCCTTTCCCCAGCAACGGCAGCTCTGGAATTCAGCTCAACAAACTGCCCCGAGGCATGTTCAGACAAGAGTTCACTGAATGCATAGTTAAAAAAACCCACAGAGTTCATAAACTGCTGCAGACAGAGCTCACTCTGTGACAAGGACTCCAGTCACTTCTTTGGCATAGGTGGTTTCTCCATTCACGTTCGGTACCACCAACAGCATCTGTGAAAATAATCCCAATACAGTCTTCACAGTGTAAACTCCAGAGAGAGTTACAAAGTGAGCCTTCTTAGCCCTTACCTCCCATGTGGAAGTTTGCTAAAGTGGATATCCTGGAATGAGCGTCAATAGGGAGAATTATTCCAGAATAATTATTCCAGAATAGCTACTTTGACAAATTTCCAACTGCAAGCAAGACTCAAGTCCCTTTGTTAAGGCACCTGGTTGTTAAGCACTTGGGTTTAGTGCAAGGTGAATGCATAGAAGTTTTTAATCTCATAAATATTATTTTTGGGTAAAAACATTAGTAAAAGAGATTTTTTTTTTAATTATTTTTGGTATCATCACATAAAAGAGCCGGATTCATTCTCTTGAAGAGAACTACACTGACCTACACCGGCTAATCTGATTGGCATCAGTGAAGCTATACTGATCTACACCAGCAAAGGATTGGGGTTGGAATTTAGGTTGTGAGGTTGGGGAGCGGTGCATAGCAGGTGCCTTAAGGCTTCCCTGATCCTAGCCCACCTCCCCAGGTCAACACCCTTGGAGATGGCTAGAACAGCCATCTATCTGGCTGCTCTAAGTTATACTAGGCTGCAAGATCTCCAACCAGTCAGCGACACAGGACTGGTTTGATGAAGTGGGATGCCAAGCCTTACCCACTTGTCCTCGCTGCACCAGCACACGGTGAGGATCAATGAATTTGGAGCAACAGTGGTTTGAGTCTCCTCTCATTCACATGATCATTCATCAGAGGCAACCACTGATGTCAAATGAAGGAAAGGGCCGGATGGAAAGTTCATTGTATCCAACAGGAAACTTCTACAGGTTGTTGTGAGCTCAAGATCAGGCCCTCGACCCGAGGGGAATAGGTCTGAGGATATTCAAGCTGAACAACAGGGAAAGCACCCCCACAATGAGAAGTGCTAGCCTGGGGGATCATCTCCTTATACCAGGAGTGGAAGGTCCAGTCCCAGAGACATTTCAAGGGTGGGTTGAAATCCTGGCCATAATAAAAAACAAAGGCAAAACGCCCACTATTTCAGCAGAGCTGTGAAATTCAGTCCGTGTATTACATTTTATGTTTTAAAGATGCTTCTGGCTGTGAACTGCCACTAGCATTACCCACTGCCACGTGCAAGTTCAGCAAAGCAGTCAAATACAACCAACCACGAACTGTGGCTGTGAGCCTGTATAATATTCCTGCCATGAGTTTCCTTGTTTTGATTAAACCTGCCCTCCCTAGACTAGACTGCAAACCAGTGACATACTTCTCCCTTTTGCAGTAAGCTTTAAAAATCATTCTGTGTCCTTTTTGAGCTCAAATATCAACTTGACTTAAAAACATTCTCCCAATTTCTTCCCAACTTGGGAGTCATGTGTACAAAGACGGTGTAATACAAAGCAACTCATTCCTGAAAACCCTTAAATAAGGGTTTTCCAGAGAACATTCACCAATGTCTTGCCACCTTTCATGACATGGTACTAATATGACTTGAT